AAGGTAAAAGCCCTCATCACTATAACATCTATTTTAACTGTATTTCACAAAGAAATGAAAGCAGTGGTTGCAAGACCAATTAAGGCCAAGTTAGTAGCACACAACTTACCATCAGCCCACTCTCTAAGCTAAGCTAGCTATGTATGCATCGTAAAATAAAAATATGTAACGCTTCACGAATTTGCATGTCATCCTTGCGCGAGGGCCATGCTCATCTTCTCGGTATCGTTCCAGTCTTAGTATATGTGCTGCCGAAGCGAGCACTGTTCCCTGACATTTTCAAATCATTTTGGTTTGTTTTGATGCTGGATTTGGCTTTTTGTTTTTTTGTCTTTTTGAGACAGGGTCGCGCTATGCAGTTCAGGCTAGCCTTGAACTCACTCTGTAGCCCAGGCTGGTCTCAAACTCACAACGATCCGCCTGCCTCAGCTTCCTCAGTGCTGGGATTACAGGTGTGTGCCACCATGCCCGGCTTTTTTTTTTTTTTGTCTTGATGTCTTGATGCTGGATTTGGAACCCAGGGTCTTGCATGTGCTGAGCATGTGTCCAAACACTAAGCAATAGCTTCAGCCACAGAACTAAGGATTTTTAACATAAGTTTAACATTTTCATAATTCCCTACTTTAGGTGTTGGTGTCACTATCCTTCTTCTTACTTAGATTAAGGTTCTTGTTACCTTTCACTATCAGTATCCTTTCTATAGTTAAGTCGAGAAATGTTTCAAAGAGGTTGCATAATTTGTCTGTAAAAGACATTTGTAATCAGTCAGGATTTTCTTCGTTTTTATTGTACTTCAGTTTGTACCCATGTTAGTTTCTCTGTCTTCTTTCTTTTCGCTATGGTGGGGATTGAACCCAGGACCTCTTGCATGCTCAGCAAGCGCTTTATCACTGAGCTACTGCCCTAGCCCAGAGTGTAAGCGTCTTCTCCCCACACTCAGTACTGGGTCTACAAAGGAAGTCATTGCTGGCCTTGCTCCTTTTTAGGTGTGCGGGAATTGCCAGGTAGTGGTTGGCAGTTGATGAATATTTGTTAAATTATAGTGAAAGTGGAAACATGCTAGAAAGCAAACTGAGTTGCAACTGATTGTGAACTTAAATGTTTTCCTAGTTCCTATTTTGATGAAAAAGGCTTGGTCAGACAGCAGCTGGATTCTTTCGACGAGTTCATTCAGATGTCTGTCCAAAGAATTGTGGAAGATGCTCCCCCGATCGACCTGCAAGCCGAAGCGCAGCACGCTAGTGGAGAAGTGGAAGAGCCGGTAAGTCGGTGGTTCTGCTAGCGGTGGCGGGTTGAAGAGGAGCATCTGCTTGGCATTTCAGTCGTTTTCTTGCTGGCTTCATGGTTAGGTCAGTGGCAGCTTTTAGCAGTGTGCTTACCAGCATGGTCAGTCAGCTCCTAGTTTGTTGTTTCTACTGGAGGCATGTGTTTTTGCAGTTCAGCTAAACCTGAATCCTTATTCAGATCCTAGGTTATTTAATAGAGAGAGGGGACTCAAGTATGAACAGCTAAGAGAAGCAAACGTGCTTTCAAAGATGATCCCACATTGCTTTTTGCAGTATAAGTCATGAAAGAACAGGTGTTTATAGGACTTTTTTCCCTGAGGGTGTTTTTTTTTTTTTTTTTTTTTTTTTTTTTTTTGTTTTTCTTTGGCGGGGGGAGACAGGGTCTCGCTCTACAGTTCAGGCTGGCCTTGAGCTCACTTTGTAGCCCTGGCTGTTCTTGAACTGGCAATGATCCTCCTGCCTCAGCCTCCAGAATGCTGGGATTACAGGCATGCACCACCACGCCAGGCTCCCTGAGTTTTATTCATTGGCTGGAATACATTATTGTAACAGTAAGAGATAAAAAAGGAAAATCACAAAATGTTTCAGCTGTTTTTATTTTTTCAGTTCCATATAATTTATTTGCATACACGTGTATGTTTTTTAGCATTGCTAAATCACAGTGAGGAGCTGGGCATGCTGGCACATCCTCTAATCCCAGCACTCTGGGAGGCTGCGGCAGTAGGATCACAGTTCAAACCCAGCCTAAGTGATTTAGCAACACTGTGTCAAAGAAAAATTTTTAGAAAAAAAAAATACTGGAGATGTAGTTAAGAGTGAAGGCCTTGTGTTCAAACCCCAGTATAAAAAAAAAGAAGTGTGATTGTGTTGTTGTTGTTTTTTGTTTTATGTGTTTTTGAGACAGGGTCTTGCCATGTAGCCTGGGCTGTCCTCGAACTCGTGGTGATCGTCTTGCCTTAGCCTCCCGAGTGCTGGGATTACATCATGTGTCACCATGCCTGGTGGAAGGATATAGTCTCCTGACTTAGTTTTTTATGAATGATGGTGAAGAAGCAACCCCAAGTAACAGCTGACTCTCCTCATTTTAGAGTGGACAGGCAGCTGTCAGCTGGGTATAGTGGCAGATGCCTGAGTCTGCAGGGTTCTGAGGTACCATGCTCTTCCCAGGGCTTTTTCTAGACTCTTGTCCTGAACAAAGAATTGGGTAGGAAATGAGGTATTGAGGTTTACATCCATCCATTCATTCATTCATTCATTCGAGACAGGGTCTCACTATGTATTACAGGCTGGCTGTGAACTTGCTTATGTAGCACAGGCTGCTGTCAAACTTATGGCAGTCCTCCTGCCTCAGCCTCCCAAGTGCTGGGATTACAGACTTGTGCCATCACCCCTAACCAGTTTTACATTTATGAAAAGTATTAGAGGTAGGAAAAAGAGTACGTTCTGCAGAGTGAGTGCAGGGGAATTAAAAGTAGGAAAAGAAGCACACACAGACATAGGCTCTCCTATCAAAAGCCTGCTTGGTTTTGTGCCAGGAGGATCGATAGCATTTTCTGACTGGTGCAGGGGGCTTGGAAGCTGCTCTGCGCATGTGTCCTGGCTCTCAGGCCCACTGGCCACACCCTAGTCTCCTGCCTCACCTGTACTTCAGCTGTTCAGGAGGTTGCAGCCAGAGGATGGAGAGTTCAAGGCTAGCCTAGGCAGTAAAGAGACGCCACCTCAAAATAACAGAAGTGCAAGACAAAGGAGATACGGAGCGGAGAGGCAGCTGTGGAAACATTTTGGGCTTTGAGAAAGGCAAAGCTGTAATTCCAAGTTAGGCGGGGAGGAGAAGGAGAGGGAGAGGGCTTTTTGGTCCAGCTAGTTCATTCTTTTTTTCCTGTAGCTGTCTCTAGTTTGCAGCACAGATTTTTTTTTTACTTTGAGACAGTGTCTTGCTGTGTAGTTCAGGCTGCCCTTGACCTCACTATGTAACTCAGCCTGACCTTGAGCTCACAACTATCCTGCCTTCGCCTCCCAAGTGCTGGAATACAGCACAGATGTTTATTTTTTAGTTCTTTTGCTTTTTGAGACAGGGTCTCGCTATGTAGCTCAGGCTGGCCTTGAGCTCGCTGTGTAGCCCAGGCTCATCTCGAACTTGTGGTGATCCTCCTGTCTCTGCCTTCTGAGGGCTGGGATTACAGGTGCACGCCACCACATCTAGCCAGAATTTTGTTCTTAAGAGCAAAGGCAACTGGCTCTTCAAGTACTGCGCTGGAAAAAGGGTTATAAAATGTATTTTTTTCATCCTGGGACATTTTCTCTTGATGGTCTTTGTAGAACTAGAGCACTTCAACATGGCGTGTTCACAGCTCCAGTGCTGTAAATATTAGAGGAGGAGGTAATCCGTAAAGCTCGGTTATCAGTGCTCAGTGGAAAAGGGGGAAGAGTTTAAATTGACTGAAGGGCAGCTGTGGCTTCTCTGGAGAGAGAGTTTCCCCGAGAAAATCCAGTGCTTAATACGTGCAGCTTGAGAAGCGGGTAGGGGCCACAGTAATCAGCACATGAAGTGTGGCCTTGTTTTCAACAGGCTTTATTAGAGGTGAGGATGGTACCAGATTGTCAGAGGTGTTGGGGGTCATGGGAGGTTGTTGAAATACTGTGGAGAATATGCATAAAGTGTTGAGGAAGGTCACTTTGTAAATAGTATTTACTCAGAATGGAAAGTATTTACTCAGAATGGAAAGAGGCTGGAGGCGGACGACAGTCTTGGAATAGCTTACTTTGAAGAGAATTTCCTAGGTGCGGGTGCTGGCAGAAACCGGGAGGAGAGGGCTGCCTCCCCTTGCTGCCGCCGCCGTCTGTGCCTGGTGTCTGCTCCAGTTTGAGCGCACTGCTAGTAATTTATCCTCAGCAAACAGTCTGCCTGCTCCCATTCTTCTGTGAGATTTGGCTGAAAAAGGGATCCAGTCTGCACGACTTCTGAGTTATTCTCACGTACCTTTCATTTCACCAGGCAGCAGAGCGACCCCTACCTGTACACTTGCTGTCAGCAAGGTTGGGATTCTCAGTCCAATACATAGGGTAATTAAGGCTTCTTGGTGCGTTTAATGGAAAGAGTAGGTTTATTTTTCTAGCATTCTACTGATCTGGTTAGAGCACAGTTCTAATTGCCTGAATTTATCTTTCCTTTGTTTCCTGGTCTCTGTGCTTTTGCCCCTAACCAAGTAGAGGGCATATGAGCCTCTATAGTTGATTCATACAATCTATTTCAGCTGTCTGACACAAACTTAAGAGCACATGATGTATGCTCTTTTTATTTATTTGTGGCATATTAAGTCTCTTTTTGTCATCTGCCTAAAGAAAGCAATTAGGAATAAAACTGTGCAGTGTGGGTCTTGACTTTGGAGAGTCTTTTTCAGTAAAATCGATAGTCTTGCCATTTTGTATATCTGTTTCTACTTAAGGTATTAGTATCAGTTAAAATGAACTAATTAAAATGGTTATGGGGAAAATTATTTACCCTTTTCATATTTTTTACTTTCAGCCAAGATACTTGCTGAAGTTCGAACAGATCTACCTCTCCAAGCCCACCCACTGGGAGCGGGACGGCGCTCCTTCCCCCATGATGCCAAACGAGGCCAGGCTAAGAAATCTCACGTAAGAAAGGATTCGTTCTTGCCTGCAGCTGGTATTGAAATAAAATGTAGACAGTGTAATGTTAACGGGCTGAGGATGTGTTTTAGTAAGTATCCCTGTGTTGCTCAACTGTGGCCTGCTTTTGTTTTCAAAGGTATTCTGCTCCACTTTATGTTGATATAACCAAAACAGTCATTAAAGAAGGGGAGGAACAACTTCAGACACAGCATCAGAAAACTTTTATAGGAAAAATTCCAATTATGTTGCGTTCAACTTACTGCCTATTGAATGGCTTAACAGACCGTGATCTTTGCGAGTTAAACGAATGCCCCTTGGATCCAGGGGGCTACTTCATTATTAATGGATCAGAAAAGGTATTGCAGCATTATTTTGAAACATTATAAATGGAGAATTAAAATTTAAATCATTAAGCTAGGCGTGGTGGCGCACCCCCGTAATCCCACTACTTGGGAGGCTGAGGCAGGATGATTGTTGCGAGTTTGAGGCCAGCCTGGGCTACAAAGTGAGTTCAAGGCCAGCCTGAACTGCATAGCAAGACCCTGTCTGAAAAAGACCAAAAAAAAAAAAAATTTAAATTATTGAAATTGAATTAAAAAGTAAAGAATAAAGAATAACCTAAAGAATAAAGAATAGCATTGTTACAGATGAATAGTTACATAAAGAATAGCAAAGTTACAAGCCGGGCAAGGTGGCACATACCTATAATCCAAGCACTTGGGAGGCTGAGGCAGGAGGATCGTTGTGAGTTGAGGCCAGCCTGGGCTACAGAGTGAGCTCAAGGTTGGCCTGAACTGCATAGTGAGACCCTGTCTCAAAGAGACCAAAAAAAAAAACAAATCCACAAAGTTATAGATGTATTATTTAGGGTATGGCCGCTAAATTTAATATAAACTAAAGCTTTATGTAGGTGTATTATGTGCATTAGAAATTTGGTGAGTTACAGGTTTCTGTCAAGTAGTTACGCAAAATGGAGTTTGTAAAATTGAAGAATTAGTGTGTAGGGAGCCCGTGTGATCATATTAAATTATGATACAGGTTTGATTTCACTCTTTTTCCTACTTTAATGTCCTTTTGGGTTTTATAGCTGCAATTTTCTTATTGTCTGTGTAGGTTCTGATTGCTCAAGAGAAAATGGCAACAAACACCGTCTATGTGTTTGCTAAAAAGGATTCCAAATACGCCTACACAGGAGAGTGCCGGTCCTGTCTGGAGAACTCTTCCCGACCCACCAGCACCATATGGGTCAGCATGCTGGCGAGGGGGGGACAGGTACGGCCTGGGTGTCATGCTCTTGGGTTTTCCTTTATGCCTTTGGTCATTCACCAGCCTGCATTTTT